TCCGGCACACCTGGGCCTCAGCCTACCACCCTCAGTCCAACGGGCTGGTGGAGAGGTTCAAGGGGACCCTAAAGATGCTGCTGAAAACCTTTCAGAACCAGCACCTGCAGGACTGGGACCAGTACTTACCTCACCGGCTGTTCACGTACAGGGAAGTGCCCCAGGAATCAAACAGGGTCTCTCCTTTCGAGTTGCTGTACGGGAGGAGAGTGAGGGGACCCCTGGACTTGGTGAGGGACGAATGGGAGGGGAAGGCCTCCCCCGATGGAGAATCAGTGGTGGAGTATGCACTGACCTTGCGGGAAAAGTTTGCTGAGCTCACGAACTTGGCCAAGGAGAATCTAGCCAGGGCCCAAGGGAAGCAGAAGGTCTGGTACGACCGCTCAGTGTGTGCCCGCTCCTATGCCACCGGGGACCAGGTGATGGGTCTCATTCCCGTGAGAAAGAACAAACTACAGGCTGCCTGGGATGGGCCATTTAAGGTCATCAAGCAGCTGAATGAGGTGAACGATGTGGTGGAGCTGTCTAACCGGGCTCACAGCCACCGGGTGAACCATGTCAACATGAAGCCGTACTGGAACAGGGAAAATTTGGTACTGGCCGTGTGTGGCCAGTGGGAGGAGCAGGGAGATGACCCCCTGGTGGATCTGTTCCCTGAGATGGGGCCGGCCCTTCGCTGGAATCAATTCCCCTCTCAGACCCACTAACCCCTGCCCAGCAGGCAGAGATCCGAGGGGTGCTGGGTTCCTACCAGCAGCTGTTCTCCAACCAGCCTGGGCTCCCTAACCTGGCTGTCCCCCAGGTGGAGACAGGAGCCCACCCCCCTATAAGATGCTCCCTGTTCCGGGTCACTGGAAAACAGCCCAGAACCTGGAAGGAGAGGTCAGTGACATGCTGGCTTTGGGGGTGATCCAGACATCCTCCAGCCCTTGGGCCTCTCCTGTGGTGTTGGTCCCCAAGAAGGATGGGTCAATCCGGTTTTGTGTGGATTACTGGAGGCTTAATGCCATCACCAAGTTCAATGCCTACCCCATGCCTAGGCCTGACGAGCTCCTGGACAAGCTGCAGGGGCTCGTTATCTCACGACTATGGATCTCACCAAGGGCTACTGGCAAGTACCTTTGGATCCGGATGTCCGACTGAAATCGGCTTGTATCACCCCTCTGGGGTTATACGAGTTCCTGGTCCTGCCTTTCGGCCTAAAGGGGGCACCTGCCACCTTCCAGCACCTGGTGGATCAGCTACTGAGGGGGATGGAGAGTTTTGCCCTGGCGTATATTGATGACATCTGTGTTTTTAGCCAGACCTGGGAGAATCGTGTGTCCCAGGTTAGACAAGTGCTGGGCCGGCTCCGGGACGCAGGTCTGACTATAAAAGCAGTTGGGAAGTGCAAGGCGGGGATGTCAGAGGTGTTCTACCCGGGCTACAAAGTGGGGAGAAGCTGCCTAAAGCCAGAGCGGGCCCTGGTGGAGGTGATCAGAGACTGGCCGCTCCCCAGGCTAAAAAGCAGGTCCAGGCTTTCATTGGGATGGCGGGGCACTACCGGAGGTTTGTGCCCCACTTTAGCGCCATAGCCGCCCCCATCACCGAGCTATGCAAGAAGAGAAAGCCGGACAAGGTGGTCTGGACCGAGCAGTGCCAGGAGACTCTCTGGGCGCTGAAGGAAGCTCTGGTCAAGGGCCTGGTGCTGGTAAACTCAGACTTGACAAGCCCCTTATGGTGTTCCCCGACAGACACGGGGCTGGGGGCGATGCTAATGCAGGTTGACGGAAAGGGGGAGAGACACCCCAGGAAGCTGCTGCCCCGGGAGCAGCACTATGCAGCCGTCGAGAAGGAATGCCTGGCCATGGGGTGGCAGCGGTATCGCTTTGGGCGGCGCCTCACCGTGCACACCGACCACTCGCCCTGACGTGGCTGCACCAGCTGAAAGGGGCCCATGCCAAGCTCCTGAGGTGGAGTCTCCAGCTTCAGGATTATGAAATGCAGGTGGTCCACATTAAGGGGAGTGCCAACGTTATAGCCGATGCTTCGTGCCAGATAGGGGGGCCGGAACTTCCCCAGGCCACTGGCTAATGGGACCCCGTTCAGTTCGGTCTCAGAAGGGGGAGAGATGGGACGAAGTGGGGTTTTATTCGTCTGGTTATGTTGCATGTGAGTCTTACTGTCCTATACCAATACAGTGTGTGCCTCAGTTTCCCTGTGTGGTGCACCATACTGCGGGGGTGGGAATTGGGGGTGTGAGTTTTGCTGAGGCCCTCAGGGCAGGTGAGGCTGCCCAACTGCCTGCACCTGTGTAACCTGAGACCCAGGAGGGGGATGGGACCAGGTGACACCTTTGGCCCGGGAAGGAGACACAGAGAAGGAGGAGGGGCATGAAGGGGGTGTGACGTTATTGACATAAACCCGGTCCAAATAGAACCTTGTCGGTCCCACTGTGCTGTAGTTCCACCT